TTGCAGCGTTTTTAATTTATATTTAATTTGAGACAAACATTCAAGGTCTCTAAATGTTATTATAGGTTTTAAAATGCTGTCTTTAAAATATAAAACATAACTTTATTTGGATTTGTAACATTAGGAAACATCCCCATTCTGGAGATGCTTAATAACAAACATCCATTCATAATCTTTCTGTTAGGTTTTTAATTATTTTGATGTAATCTGTATTCTTGAAGGTTATTTAGTCTGTGCTATAAATCAATACCATTTATATTTATTTAAAATAACAATATAAACTTTGTAATTGTGATCCAATACATTTAAATATTTATGTCATGGTTTTAAATCCGGAGTTCTACTTGTTATGTTAATAATCGGACAGTAGTCAGATATCAAAAGGGTTTTTGGCTCGACGACACGACGGCCATATTGGTAGTGGCGAGCGTAGATACATCGAAGAACGGTGTTATTGGTGAGGTTATTCTGTGTAAATTGGAAGAAAACGTAAGAGGTAAAGAAGACTATATTTTATTAAAGCGTAAAATGGCTGTGACGCCTATATTTTGCTTTATTTTACATATTAGTAAGATTGTTTACAGGCGCAGGTATTTTCTGGTAACGCTTAGTATTTAGTACAAAAGATAAATAAAACACATTTAAATTGTTAAAGGTCATGTAATAATGCTTAAAAATGTCAATTATATCGTTTTTACATCAAAATCATTACGTTAAAAGTAAATTCAAAGCGGATTATGTTCTTGTTCTCTCCTTAGCACCACTAAATCTTAATTTTGTTCACAACAAGAATGAAACATTTATTAAATCTATGAAATTATGATGTCTCATTTATTCTTGTTCAAAGAAGAGAGACAGTACAAACCAGTATCTGTTTTAACATTAACGCGCATGGCGAGATTTCTACAGATTTCTAGCACGCCCTAGGACTTTCGTAAAGGAGGGTGTTAACAGGGGAATGTAAGATTCGTAGACCTATAGCGTCTCTTTCTGTCAAGCGTCCTGGCCGGTCACCCCATCGTGTACTACCCTAACACCGGCCCTGGATACAAATGTCACATTAAACTTTCAAGGTAAGGTAAGATCGGTAGTATGTTTAAAATGTTACAAAACTGCATACTTAAGTACAAATATAATTAAAACTATTCTATAATCGTTAATTGAGCTCGTTTCTCAAAATTCATCCCACGGGTACATAGCAAAGAAGGCAAGAAAATTTTACAAGACAGAAAATTTAAAATCTTGCCTAATCTGCTAGGTTTAACTTCCCAATAAAAGAAACTTTTATATACAAACACGTATGGACAATACATAATTATATAAAAACCGTATTGATATTAAGTAATTTTTGAATTGACTCTCGTAGATTCTTCCCTCGTAAAGAACCTACGTTCCTTCGAAACTTTGTGTTAGAAAAAATAAAGAACGATGTAATTTTTTTTCAAAACAGGAGTTTGTTCTTAAGTTTTTTTACATTGATATAGTATTTTGGCACGTAGTTAGTAAGAAAGCCTTAAGTATATTTCAAATACTAAGTTATTTATTCCGTTATATTAATGGTAGAGATGTACAGTAGCGAAAATTCGCAGTGTTCCACTTCACGACAAATTGCCTTCTTCATTGCAATGAGGAAAACTCTGTCTCCTCATACTAATATAATAAAGCGTAAACATACACTACTTTGTGGCGTAAGATGTCAGCAATTACAGCATATTTTTGAATAATTATTTCTTTAATAAAAAGCCATACACTTACTTTATGCTTTGGGCTATATATTTTCACGCTTTAAACTTATAATAAATAAATTGTATAAAAACCCTAATGTGGGAGACCATAGGCTAGCTGCCAACATTAAGGAAGTAAGATTATCATGGTTTGTCATCAAGACATGTCATTTTGATATTTTCAATTGCTAATTTGACAAATGTAAACAATAAAATTAAAAAATCAAAGTCATGCGGATGGATCCGGGAACAGCTAGTAACTAATAAGATAGCAGTGAATGAAAACTAAGGGATAAACGAAACTAGCCGTAAATCACTAATCGACATTTTTTCATACAGATACATTTGTAAGCGTTGTGTTTGTTTTTGTTACGCGTCTCGTTTCGAAATGTTTAAACGATTGTAGCTGGAATATTACAAAGGTAGAGGAAGACCGAAGAAAGTATGGATTGTGTGAAAGAGGATATGCTTAAGAAAGGAGTGGATTCAGATATGACGGCTGATAGAGATGTATGGAAGAGCATACTGTGCCGACCCTCCGTAAGGGATAAGGGCAAGTTGATGATGATGATTGTAGTTGGAACACTGCGGATTTCCGCGACTTTACGCAAAGATATTACTTCTAAATAGTCTTACGTTTTATTTAGACATTTCAAAAGGAAGCACATTTCTTTATTAAAAGCAAAATATTAAAAACTAATTCAACTATTTAAGTACTATTTAAATTCATTAAACTTTTTAATCTTGTTAAAATATTTTCTTCTTTTATAATTTTGTCATAAAAAAAAACAATATTTATTGTCTAGTTTACAATTGGACGGATTTGTCATACATTTTAAAGAAAACAGAAAAAAACACATTTCTATTCTATTTCTTGTTTATGGCTCTTCCACAGCAGATTTATCCTATAAATGTCATTTTTCAGTGGCAGTGAAAATATTTTTCAAGCAAATTATATAATAGCGTAAATACATTTCGTATATATTTCTTTAATTACATAGATCACATTTATCTGCGGTTTCTACTTAATGTAAATTCAATTAAAAATAAAATCGCTTAAAAAGTTTTGTATCGTTAAAATTTTTTCGGATTAAATTATTGAATAAAAATTGATTTCTCTTATTTTATAGATTAATAGCTTTTTAAATTTTGTTATCGAAAAAAAAGGGCCTGTCCCACCACCAAAATGACGTCACAGTCAGATAAGGTAATAAAATTCAATGTTTCCATCACATTTACACAATCCAAGTTATCAATTTACAATGTGGTGGGACAGGCCTTTAGTTTTAATATTTTTTTTAATTCAATTATTCAAACATTTCAAGATATTGTTAAATTAATCTTTATTCAATACATAGTTAGTAAATTATTTAAACTTATTGCATTTGATGGCGTTATTGGCAGCAAGACTTGTATTTATTCGCGCCACTCTCTCGACGCCTGGAATGTTCGCACCTCGGACGAGGTGAACGTTGTCAATCCTTGAGCGCCTGGAATAAGACTATCGTTAATACAAAATACAAATAAATCTTTATGTATGTTACATATTAAAAGATATTTTTTTTTTATATCTTCACGTCACGGGTCAATTTCAATCGATAACATGTATATTAACGAATTAGAAAACAAACATCATAAATTACAACGTTTTTGATTTGTTGACCAAGAAAAATGCAAAAACAAAGTAAAAAAAACAAACGTTTTCGTTTCTGTTACGACTGAAACAAGGCCAAAAGTTCTGTTTCGATTTAAACCTTTCATTTTCTCATCCCTACTAATTTGTTAGTTTTAATAAAGTAGTAACCTCTGATCCGTCGTCCAGGAGTAGGTGTGACGTCACCGTCGGGCGCTGTCCACTGCTCCACCACCTCGGTGTTGGAGCGCGCCAGCGACGGCTGGCTCACAGAACGGTTCAGAGAGTGTCGCGACCAAGACCTAAGGGCAATATTCTAGATTAATACAACTGTATACAAAAAAGACAAACTTACAAGATAAGGAGCAAAAGTAGAAACGCAAATATTGGCCTTATGTCACAAACACACAAACAAATCTACACAAATTATTAGGTACACTTAACTACAAATGTATTGCAGCACAATACATTCAAAATGCGTTTGACTGTACTTGGGGTACTGAAAATGAAACCGAAACTATTGCCTTATGATAAAGTCTATACGGAGATTTCCCTACAATTATTACCCGCGAATTGTGTATAGAATAGTGTTAAGTGTACACTATCATATAAACAGTGTTCCTTACTGATGATGGTTGAATGGCTGTTCGTTGTCACTGTCGTCGTCGTAGTAGCGGCCCAGCAACGTGCCCGCAGACACCTCCGACTGCGTGTCTGCCTGCTCCCGCGCGTAGTCCACCATCATCTCAGACATCGACCTGCACCAAAACATGACAGCTAAGAACATCTATCAACCACCAAACTAAAAGATTCTAAACTCACTGATTAAATACGCAGACTTCAAATTTGCCACTAAGGTGTGTGCCGTTCTAACCTTATCATTTTTTAATAAAACTAGTTTTGAATCGAGTGAGAAGTCACCTAAATGCGAAGCGACCACTGACCATACACATCCGCAATTGCAGACTCGCTGCTTACCCTTAGTCAACAGATAAGGAGACGCACATAAAGAGGATATTTCCTCTTCAAATGCTTCAAATCTACTTACAAGAATAGCTTCGGCACACTTACCAGAGTGTACGCGGAATTGCTTTCACTTCACGGTTGTCTTCTGTGTACTTGTGGAAGATGTTAAGGCTCTACCATTATCGAATGTACTAGTATCTTAATAGAAATGTGTGTTACTATATGTAATTGACCTCATATCGACGTGGTCGCTGCGGTAGGAGGAGCGGCGCGAGCGCTGCGGCTCCCGCAGCGAGGT